AAGACTATTGTATCGTTAAAAATTATTTTTTTATTTTGTACAAACAAAATAAATATATTGAAAAATATAAAAATAATAAAAAATTATACTTCAGATGTTAATTTAGTATCAAAAACGTAAAATATTTGAGTAGCCCAAGACATAGCCAAAGATTGAAGTGCCACAGCACTGGCGAAAATTTAAATTTGTTGACTGAAATTCTTTCGGATGATTGACTTTCGGAAAATCGACGCTCTACTGTATTATGTTCATAATTAACAGTTTAAAACAAACTATCCATTTTTATCCTTATTCTTATTGTCACTTCACTACCAGAAAGTTCTATCTAACATTCTCTGTCAATCAGAGTTTTGTCTCATAGGGTTATATCAACAACTACATTTTATCTGCTGTTTTATTATGATGTTTTCTTGTCACATTTATGAAGCAGGAATGAAATCAGATTATTCTATCTATAAAATCCTCAATATCAATAGCATCAGAAGGTTCTATCTGCATAGAAACTTCTGATTTCAATATGACAGCCATGTGGGGAGATTTTCCATCAAATTTCTACATTTCTAGTATTGTAGCAGATAAGGTAGTGATTGGCATAAAATACGGATCCAGATTTTGATTCCAGTAATGAAGGTAAACATTACCATGATGTATGATATTTATATTATATAGCACCATTGTAAATCATAGCCAAGGAAAATGCTCATAAAGTATTAATAGAAAAGATAATAAATTTCATGATTCAGTTGCATGTCTCAAGATGTACACACATAAATCCTTCTTTTTCTCAAAAACATCCTGACTTGGGATATGTCATTTTTCCAACATGCCCCTCAATTATAATAACTGTATGTAATTGATTTTCAATCAGTCAATAAGAAATAATTAAGGTAAACGCACCGGTAGTGGACACTGCACGAGTAGTGGACACTTTGAACTTCAAATATGAGTAATAAGGTTGTAGATGGCTTCACTGTTCAAACATACAAAGCATTCAATAGACAGAACTTCTGTTTACTGAATGATTTGTATGTTTGAACAGTGAAGCCATCTACAACCTTATTACTCATATTTGAAGTTCAAAGTGTCCACTACTCGTGCAGTGTCCACTACCGGTGCGTTTACCTTAATATGAAATAAAATTTTATGAAATTTTATGCTTCCTTTATCCATTGTAAAAATAAAATTTATTTAAAGGTTAATGAAAGAATCAATCTTTGTTGCAGATTACTCTTTTCTATCTATGAATAGAAAAGATCATAAGCTCTATGGAAGAATGGATCTATGGAATGGATCTATGGACGCTCTATGGATAAGAAATTGCTTGAAATAAATAATTACAGGAAACAATCTAAAGTTATAAAAACATCTAAAATGAAGACCTTAGAAATCTTACTTATGTCTTAAATTATTATCTGATAGATCTTTATACCATTTTTATATCTAAAAGATTATTTAAAGTTATTTTCATTTTACTCTCTTATGTTACTGACAAATATATATTAATCATCTACTAAAAAACATGAAAAGCTGTAATAGTTAAATAATACATGTAAAACCGGAAAAATCTCATTCAGTTTTTTACAATCCTGCACATCAGAAACATTTGTTTGACTTAATTAAAACATTCTCTCTCTTGCTCTAACTGGAATATTTATAAGACACACTATTTTTCCAGCATTCATTCAGTATTTTGAACTAATACTTTTAATACTTTAGAGAGTACTAATTAAATGAATTTAAATTATTTAATTACAGTGAGAAATTATTTATTGTGGCATTATTATAATGCCAGTCTGCAATTTTTAATCATCTTTTAACTTGAAAAAAGTCATATGACTTCCAGTCCAGATTAGAAGTTCATATATGGTTAATTGGGTCTCCAGTCCCTAAGATTTCCATATCTAGTCTGAATTTCCATGTAACTCCATTCTCAAGATTAATAAGAAGCGATCGATATACAATAGGATGGACAACAGTAGGAATGGATATGTCTGCATTTTGAAAATTGTAGGCCAAATAGAATTTATATAAATTATACCATGTGTTAAATGTGAAGACGATCCATCTCTAATACATTAATACTAACTACAAGATGTGGTTTATGCTCTAATAAATAAGAATTAGCAGTAGTTTTCTCATGTTATTGTTCTATGATTTTTCATTTTGATCAGTAATCTTAAAACTGTTTTTATATTTTAATAACAGATTTACTTTAAATTTATACTCCCTACATGTGACCATGATTTTAAATTCAATATACAAAATTGCCAACTCCAACTCTTCAATATTTAAATTTCCTGCTCGAATTCCATCATAAAAACTTAGTATTTATTAATAATGGTAAACCTACTAAAATGTTAAATGATACTAAAGTTTCTTTTTATACTGAGTTTTATTTCCATTATCACAGATATCACAATATATATTATTTCACTACATACTGTATTTTCATATACTAAACACAACAAAATAGCTAAAATATCATTAAAAAACAAAATATTCTGTAAATATCAGAAACAAAGAAAGAATTTGATATTTTCAATTGTTATTTTATCTATAAAACAAAGTTATAATTTCAGTACATGAAATTAATTTAAATCATATATAAAGGTTTTGTTTCATAAAAATTTTATCCACAAGATATTTAAAACAATTCTAAAAACTTTAAGAAATACAACAGAACTTATTATAAAATTCAAAATTCATAAAGATCTACTTATGATTAGTATAGCTTGCTTAAATAATTCTTACCATCCAAATCACTTCAGGATAAACAGCTTCTGTTAACACACCTCTCCCTGCAGTTATATAATCAACTAATTCATTTAAAGTTGCTCTTTTAATTTCCTTTCCTTTCAAATCTGAAACAGGATCCATAAAATCAAATACAACTGAACATTGCCGAAGTTTACGGATAAATAATTCCTCCTGTTCAGATGCTGAAACATCTGTAAGATAAATATCAAAAATTAAAACTGATTATTTAAAACAAACAAACAAAAAAATCTAACTTTTTAAATTTTCAACATTATAACTACATAATTATAAAATATACAAACAGAAAAGTTTCTTGTGTCTAACAGTGCATCCGAATTTTATCCAATTTAAGTGCATGTTTAGTACTGTATTAATCATATTAACATATTGCAGATAATAAAAATATAAATATCTGCTCTAATAATGAGGTAGTCTTCTCCTAAGTAATAAAATATTTTAATATGATTAATGCTATAGATGCACTTGAATTGAATAAAATTGGGGTTATATTGTTGGATACAAGAAACTTCTCATTTACCACATATATAATTAATAAATTTGATAGTCATGCATACACACTCATCATATACAAACAGATCACATTATTACATCTTATGCTTCATATTAATAATAGTCTAATGATAAAACTATATATATAACAAATAATAACTTTAATGTTAACTGGGAGCCTATTCCCATTATTTTAAATGAAAAAAATTATAATCCATTTCAAATGCAATTCAGAATCCCAAGCAATATCCTAAGACATGACCAAAATAAAGTAAAACACCTATATACAAGTATATGGATGTAAAATTCTTAAAATATCACTTTCTCATCATCAAACAATATATAGTAATTGCAGTAACAAGTGTACTTTGCATTATGTACCAAATGATTACTTTTGCAATGTTAAATGGCATATAACTTAACAATGCTATACAGAAATTTGTTAGAAAAAAAGGAGACTAAAATTTACAATAAAAAAAAAGACCTTCGTGTTTACCTTACTTCTTTCACACTGGATGAACTCAAGCTGGCTACTGCTATTAATGTTAGATATCAAATTCATACTGGGAAGCATCTCCCTATCAAGTATAAGTCCTATAAGCCATCACCTGCTGAATGTTGCATCATCTCCTAAAAGCCCAATAAGAGGTTGCAACAAGGACTGTGCCATCTTCTAAAGTCCTGGTCTTCCCTAGTAATGCTAGTAAGAAAGGACACCAATTGATATTTCTGTGCAGACTGCTGAAAGGTACATTGGGTTACTAAGAAGGACATAAACCCATTACAAATTGATGATGCTTTGGATTGCCTACATCGTGCAAGTTTTTTGTTAATGGAATTACTCTCTACTTTTTGATAGGCAAGAATGATGGATAAAACAGAGGAAAACTGCTTTTATGATATGAAATGGACTTTACAAATTTAAGTAACACCATTTGGATTACACAATGCTCCTGCCATATTTGAACAAATGAAAAATAATATGTTGTAAGGAATTCAAATGACATATCTACATGTGTTACCTAGATGACATCATTGTCTTTGCTGTCTCCTTCAATGAGCACCATTGCTGTTTACCTATCATCCTGATGTGTCTGCAAAAGCAAGATTCTAACTTAACCATAGAAATGCTGTTTTGGGACCACTGCCTACACATTTTAGGAAACTTGATGGACACTGCTGGTATTTGGCCCAACTCTGAACTATGACTAGCACACAAGTATTATCTCTGTTCAACTTAGTCTTGATGCTTCCACTGGGATCTCAGCTGTCAAGGATTAAGCCTAAAATACTCTGTAATGATATTTGGCAGGACAGAATAACTCTCTCAAGGTTGTGTTCACAACCAAAGATAAAGAGTTAGAGTTCAAATTTAACCAATTACCATTCACTTTACTTTTAATAAAAATGTTGATACCTGAGAAGTGCATTTAGTAAATGCTTATTGATTAAATTCTAATTCTAACTCTTGATCCCTAGTAGTAAATATAGCAGTCAGTGGTTCCACATGAACCCTTAACATGTCTATGCTGTTATCAAGTTCCTACAATTCTTCAATTTTTGGCAGATTTGTAACTTCTTATAACTCTGTTTGTACTATTGCCATTTCATCCCAAATTTTGCTACAAAATCTCAACCACTGGCCTCATTTTCACAAATGATTCACTGTTCCAATGCAATGAAGACAACCCTATGTCTGCCCCATTTGATGATGTTCATTGAAATGGCCTCTCAGCCATTTTGCATAATTGCAAATCTGCATAATCCTTCAGAGCAATTGCATACTGGACCTCATGATTACCTGCCAAGCATTCTTTAACTAAAGACAAACCTAAGGTAGGCTTATGAAGTAAGCAAATGTGAGAAGCCAAGGACTCGGGTAACCATTCTAAACCCTTCATTTGGCGTCGAGGATGGTAGATCCTCACTCAAGCATCACTGGATGGTGGGACCCGAGTGACGAGGGGGTGGATAAGCTGATAAGGTGTCCATTCTCATTTCAGAGAATGGACACCTTGACAGGTTGACAGGTTAAACAAAACAACGAATTTAATATGGAACATACCCATAAGATATCTTCAGCCATAACTTCTTCCATACACTGTTCATGTATTTATCAGTTAATTCTTGCCAAGTGAAGTCAATATTGCCCATAGCATCCATGAGGTTATATTTTTTTCCAAAACTGCATCAAACAAACATAGATTTAAAGAAAGTACACTTTTTTGCCACCTTTTGCTGATTGGTTTGTGTTCGCAAATAATCATATTATATACGAAGCAATGATATACCGCAATAATTTAAATCAGTGTAAATTTTGAGCTTTTTTTTAGGTTCGAGCAGACTGCATTATATTGAATCAGCATTAAGCAGGGTCTTACTGTATTTATATCAGATGCATTAGCATGCACAAAATCTATGAGAGATGTTCTTTCAAATCCTTAAAGATGGATGATGTCAATCCTTCAGCTATTACATATATATTCTGGAAATACATTGCCAAAATATTATGATGTTGATATTACTATTTTGAATCAAATTTATATTTTCTGTTTGTATACAATATGTTGACAAACAGAATACAATAATTAAATCCATTTCCACAGTGTCCTTGTAATCATATTTGCACTATACCATTATATCCATTTTTTCATTAAATAAAGGTTTTTCCAATTTTGTTTACTTTCACTTCTTCACCTATTAAATATTTTGATTTATATCTAATATTTCCATATCTATTTGTCTCTTCTGAAAATTGAAAACTTTTTTCACTCAAAATTACATTCATCTCCAAACAATTCCAAATTAAAAATGGATGATCATACTAGATAGAAAAAGCAAATTATTTGGATTAATATTAGTCTAATCATCTCCTAAAAGCTCAATAAGACGCTGCAACAAGGACTGTGCCATCCTCTAAAGTCCTGGTCTTCCCCAGTAATGCTAGTAAGAAAAGATTGGATTAAACTTAGTCTAAAAACTTTTAAAATAGTCCCCAAATAGTAAGTTCAAAAAAATAATTTTTTTAGTTATTTCATTGGACTTATTGTTTGGTGTACTGATATATCTAAATTTTTATTACAGTGCAATTCTCATTTTTTTTTTTTACAGTATTACTAGAAATTCCCTCATCAAACATGATGGAATACTTTTTATGAGAAAGCAGAGATTGAAGAATTGAAAGAAGCAAAGATTTCAAGAAATTCAAGAAGTGTTGCTAATACTTCTGCAAATTAAGTAGTTTATACAAAGAGCAACAAAACAAAATTTCAACTGGAGTAGACAAAAATATTAGGAGTTATAGAGAATTCACTTACACACATACAAACAGATGACATCCTTTATATTAAAATCTTTCTTTATAAAATTTCTTTATACACTACATTCTGAGTAACTACTCCATTATCTTTTAAAATATTTCTAATAACAGGCTCATTACATTGTTACTTCCAATTGGATAATAGAATGTCATGTAGTCACTATGGAAAGATTTTTTTTAAAATTTGTTATAGAAGTGACACGATGCAGCTATCTTTTTTAAAGTTTAATTTTAATGAAGTAAGTTTAAAATATGCTGTTTGCCAAAATATTTTAAAATGCAACTTAAGGGAAATTCTGTCGTCAAGAATGAATTAAATGAGGTCACTGATGTCATTGCAAAGTAGTGTAATCATCGATCCCAAATCAATAAAATGTTTATTCTATAGCTAATATTTCTGCAAAAATAAGTAGCCTATACTTTCCATCAGAACATAAAACAAATATAACCAAAATTTCATCTGGTTTGGACAAAAATTGCAGAATTATAGAGAATTCAGAAACACATGACAACTTTTATATTATTAATATACAATCTTTAGAATAGTGGTTCCGAAACTGAAATCTGCAAACCCCCAGGGTCCATGAGATCTTGTTGGAGGTCCTCAAGCCCATTTCCTAAAAATGTTTTTATTTCATTACATAGCAAATATTTAAAAAATATTATTTAAAATTATATTAAGCTTTAAATGAAAGTTGATAAATTCTTATATTATATATTAGAATGATATACTTCAATGACTTTGTAAAATAAAAAATGTTGGTTCTTTTTATTAAATTTTGTAATTTAATAATTGTTATTTTATCAAAAAGTTTAAATTAACACAATTAAAAACCATCAATAAATAATAAAAGATGCCTCAGATGCTTATCATCATTATAATTTATTAATTAATGACTAAACTAATAGCTGAAAATAGAGATTCACCAAAATACATCTTTAACTAAAAAGGATTCATCACCTTTCAAAGTTTAGGAACCACTGCTTTAAAATAATAATAGAATAAGGCTGACTATACACTCTGTCAAATAAATACTGGGAATTGTTAAATAAAATACAAAATTTTAGTTTAATCATCTAAATTTATTTTGTTGCCTTCAAAATAGGTCCCATTTGATGCAATACACTTCAGCCAATGAATAATCCAGTCATCAAAACACTTCTTATAAGTGCTCTGTGGTATGGCCAGCAGCTCCCTCTGCAAATTTTGTTTTATTTCTTTAATCAACCCAAAATGTTTTCCATTAAGTGGTAACTTGAGTTTGGGGAAGAGGAAAAAGTCACATGGGACCATATCTGGTGAACATGGTTCTTGATTGATGACATTCATTGAGTTTTTGGTTAAAAATTTGCATACAAGGG